GAAGCATGATACTGGTCAAAACTTTTTTTTGCTTTGACCAGCTTTGGAGGAAATGTTTTCAAAGAATTAATAAAAAATAACACAGAAATTCACTTTCTAGCTCATCTAGCCCCAATCATCATGTCAGGCATTGTCATTACTAAAAACCATTAAATGTCTTCTAAACTGAGAAACAATTTCCACATTTAACCGAAATCTTTTACTTATGATACTGACAATCCCCCACAAAGTAATATAAATAGAACCATACAAATAGTAAGCAAATACGTGTTCTCAGATACCATCTCCCATATAAAAAAAATCACATTAAGAAAAAAATGAACCTATTATGTGTTCCTCTCCTAGCTACAAAATGTATCCAAAATCAAAGATGTGGAACATATATATTCTATCTTAATCATTTGGTAATTAATGCAATTAGTATCTCTTCCATGCCCGATTTGAACATAAAAAACTAAATATTACATAAACAACACCCCTAATGCTCATGTTGGTTGTCATTGTGCAACACAGTTATTACATAGAAAACATAAAACATAGAACTCCTTTTGTCATATAAAACACTGTCAAACATCCAATCATACTATCCACACTGATCTGTGTCCACACTTGTTACATATGTAATATATAAATTAAGGACTTTCATTCAGTCAATACGTTAGATTATATTGAACATCAGACTTCGTCCTCGGGCAATATAATCTGAACAGCTATATATATGACGTATTGACCTCTTCAAAAGTACATAATTGATAAAAATTACCGTGCAATGCCAGAAAATGACAAATCTGCTCCAGGTTATGTTCAAATAATATTGTCTGATCATCAGTGAACGGGAGAGCTTTTCCTATGACAAAACTCGAAAACCACAAAGCCTCAAATATCTTTTAACAAGAACTAAACTGAAATGTTGTATTCAATATTTAGGACAAACAGGACGTTATTGTTTACACGAACACTCTTTAAACATCTAAATCGCTTCCGTTGAACCTGTAATTAAGTTGGTGTCATAGCTTCAAATCTATTGGGTTTTTTTCCCGTTAATGTTTGTGTTACAAATCAGGCCATCTTTGTCTTTTTTATCTTTCTTTTTCCCGCCATCATCATCGCAACCACCGCCACCGCCATCACTGTTACCACCGCCGCCGCCGCCACCAACACCAACACCACCACCAACACCACCTCCTAAATCTTCATCATCAATTTCCTCTGGTGAATTGTCATCATCGCTTTCATCTTTTGGATCTTTCTTACGTTTGATCTTTTCTTTAAAAGAGCAAAAGGATATCATAAAAAATAAGCAACGAAACAAGAAGAGGATTTACCTTTACTTGAATACTTTATTTACAGTTAGATAACATATATTCGTATATATTTCAGACCTAATCTGCACTTGTATACCCTACGAGTAAAACACAGTTCCTCTTTAGGTTTCGGTTCAAGTCAATGGTAATTTTGAACATGCCATAATTATCCAACTCCAAAGTCTCCGATGCCATCATCATCACTATCCTCTGTTTTGATCGTCATCATCGCTTTCATATTTTGGTTTTTTCTTACCTTTGATCTTCTCTTTAAAAGTGCAAAAGAATATCATTAAAATAAACAAGAAAAAAAAGAAGAGGAATTACATTTACTTACACACCAAAAGGAATAAATCTTTAACTCCATATAATTTAAATGAAACAATATATATATGAGAACCAATCTGCATTTGTATACCTTACGATTAACACAACATCTTTTTGTTCTTCCTGTGCAATAATCTGGATAATGCGCAGCTAGGGTGTACATTAACTACCTCATATATTCTGCACAGTAAATGTAATCTTACCTCACAATTACGATAAAGGATAGTTTAACAATTCTGTGCAAACTACATCGTTTCGAAAATATGAAAATATATATATAATGTAAAAGTGCTAGGTTAAGGAGAATGAATCCTTCTTAAAACTGGGAACTTTTTATATCAAAATAATCAAGATTTGATTCGGATTTGTGTTGTGCTCAACGGAATACACTTCGTTTAGATGCGACATGTCTTCAAAATAAGTCGCCAAATACATTTGAAAAATCTGATGGGGGTTAGATATTGAAAAATAGTACATTTTTTATATTCTAGTTTAATTAGCACACCTCTCTTTAATCAATTTGCACATATTCTTGAAAGAAAGACGAACGCTTAATGTTTTCAATAACAATGCAAGTTATTACAAGTCATGCAATAATTTTGAAGTACACCAATCGGATCTTAAACTGTTTGAATAAAAGGAGATGTTGAGTACTGATCCAACATGAGACGGCAACCCAACGACAAAAAAAAACCCCATTTAAATTGATATCTAAACGGCAACATACAGTTTCAACAATTGACAGGGAACTACACAATTTCAAACTTTAAATCGTTCCGATATAAAAATAAAGAAGATGTGGTATGATTACCAATGAGACAACTATCCACCAAATTCAAATGAAGTAGATTATTTGCTTTGTATCAATCTCATGAATTAAGCCCTTTTCAACTGATTTTTATAGTTTGTTCTTATGTTGTAATGTTACACCACTGTCCCAAGTTAGGGGAGGGTTTGGCTCCAACAAACTAGCTTAACCACGCCACATTATATATGTGCTTGTTCCAAGTCATGAGCCTGAAATTCAGTGGTTGTCGTTTATCAATGAATGTTTTTCATATTTGTTTTTTCTTTATTATCTTATATAGGTTTGATCTTGGGATGTGCCGTTGCTTCACTATCACAGGCTAGGAAGGCTAGGGAGGGTTGGCGCCTTCAAACATGTTTAACCCAGCCACATTCTGTATGTGCCTGTCCCAAGTCAGGAGCCTGTAATTCAGTGGTTGTCGTTTGTTGATGTATTTCATATTTGTTTTTCGTTCATTGTTTTGTACATCATAAATCAAGCAGTTAGTTTTCTCGTTTTACATTTGTCATTTCGGGCCCTTTTATAGCTGATAATGCGGTATGAGATTTGGTCATTGTTGAGGGCCGTACGGTGACCTATAATAGCTGTAATGTCATTTGGTCTCTGGTGGAGAGTTGTCTCATTGGCAATCATACCACATCTTCTTATTTTTCTAGATGTAAGGAATTATATGCAACTATTAATAATAATCTATATTAAAAATTGTGAAACAATGGTTGATATATACAAAATAACTAATGGTTTGCTTGAAATAAATTCTCTCCGAAAATTTCGTGTTAATTGATGACGTCATGTGTTAAAACAGTGATTGGCCAATCAAATAGGTATATACCCATTGACTGGATTATCCAATTACTATAACCAGAGACATATAAGACGTGTATTATATGTCTCTGCTATAACTCAAGCCACAGTTCCTCCTAAGGTTTCGATTTTACAAAATGCTCATTTTGAAATACGCACATAATTATTCAAATGTGATCTTGTAGATTATTTATAGTAACGGGTTAATCATATTAATAAGTGATATGCTAAATAATCATAGTTTGGATGTTAAAGGAATTAAATGAACAATCTTTGACATTTGATTTTATTTTTTAACGTAGACTCTACCCTCATTTTTTTTTCTCATTTCATGACTTCCGGTAAGAATTTCATCGTAGCCAGACAGATGTTAAAGTAGGGTTTGGCGCCCACAAAATGTTTAACCCGTCACATTCTGTATGTGCCTGTATCTTGTCAAAAGCCTGTAATTCATTGGTTGACGTTTGCTGTTGTATGTCGTATTTTTTTATTTGTTTGTTGTTTTGTAAATAAATCATGCTTTTGGTTTTCTCGTTTGAATTCTTTTACATTTTGTCACGCTGTAACCTTTAATAGCTTGCTATGTGCTGTGGGTTTTGTTCATCGCTGAAGGCCGTATGGCGACCTATAGTTGCTAACATCTAACGTCGTTTGGTCTCTGTATGATAGTCCGAGTCGTCTCATTGACAATTCTTAACACAGTCGGGTGAATGAAAATTATCTTGTAATTTTCAATGTCGCGTTACTGTTTCGTTTCTAGTCCAAATTTATTTATTATTCAAATACAGTTTTCAAAATATGCACGTGGTTCATATATACTTCTATATTTGTAATTATGTACTAGTTTTATATATATATATCTTACTATACAAATTCTTGGTATATATGTAAGCCTCATATCTATGTCCAGTCTCAAATATGTGTCCTTTCCTCAAGTCTATACCCAGCAAACAATATTACGTCATAATTACGTCGTGACAATGTAATTTTTTCGTCGCATTGACGTCAGGTTATTACGTTGTATTTACGTAAAAGTGTATGGTTTTCTTGACGTTGTCACAACGTCATACATCAACGTTGCGGTGACGTAAAATTACGTTTCTACAACGTTATTCCTGACATTACAACAACGTTAATATCACGTTATATCGACGTAATATACTTGCACTTTTATATTATGCTATATAATTGGCCTAAAAATGATCATCTATATATATTCTATGGTCGGGTTGTTGTCTCTTTGACACATTCCCCATTTCCATTCTCAATTTTATACATAATATCAACTGTGTTTGTGACCATGAGGTGACCTCTGCAGGATGATACATGTTGGTGTCAATTCTCAGAAGGAATTTGTATATCCGGCATTATCATCATCTGTTTTTATTACATTATAAGCAAAACATTTTTTTTTTGTGTAGCTTTAATCGGATTACTGTTTCAGTAATTTGGATATTACAGAAAGGAATTGTATTGTATTTTGGGGCCATCCATAGCTGACTGCCTGTTCGTATGCAGTTCTTGGTAGTTCCTGCTTGTAAAAATTATATGCATTTGTCATATATGTTACTCTATAAATGGGATGTTCGTCCTGTCCCCCTAAACCCGCCTTTGATTAGTATCAATTTCTCATTTAGCATGTTCACGTTCTGAATATGTATCTGACTAGCTAAACACCCACCCATGAAAGTTTTAAAAAAACTAAAAATAAAAAATAAAAGATGCATGTACTAGTATATCAAAAAGTGAAGAATTAATCGTTAACTTTGTTTATTCTAAACTACTGAACGTTGCTTCTGGGTCCCTAGCATGTCCGGCACTGCTTCTTGTACCCTCTTAGCAATTGGTTCCTGCAATGACAATAAAAAACTTATTTGTACAAAAACTGAAATTGTAATTATTCTATAGGTCTAGTAACATTATTGCAAATAAATACTAGATGTAGCTGTGTGTGTAAGACGTGACTTTCCAAATCTCTTTGAAGAACACATAAACCACATAATTATATATTCAGTTAAATACGTCGTGTGCGTTTAATGTTACCCTTTATTGTCTAAAAAGAGCGTCTTGATCTTCACAATACTAGTTACAAATACATATTTATAATAACAATTTCGTACTGAATTCAAAAATAACCAACTTTAATTTTCAACATAGAATACAACATGTACAAACAATAATAATTTTGTTTAATAATCCCAAATTGAAGGTTGCACTATACGGGGTAAATGAGGGAATTCTTACCTTATAGCGTGTTCCGCCTGGTTTCTCCAATCAATTCCTCGACATCTGATGCCCTTGCTGACGGGTAGTTCTTCATGTAAGCCTCTACAAAAATTGACATTGATAAAATTTGCATAATGATATTTAACATAATTTAAAAAAAAAAAAACCTTATCAATTATAATAACAAAATATATTTATTTATTGGTAGTATAAGTAAATACTTTTAATAAAATAAAAAGCAGCTGTTCTTATATACATTTAGGACCGTCAATCTGATACTATATTATACCAATAGTCCCAGCGTCTATGTGATATATCAGATATACTATATATATATATAAACTTTACAAAAAACCGGCAAAATAACAAATTCACAATATTGCCGGCGCCGGAAAAATAGCAATTGCTATTGAATTATGCTATTTATAGCTCACTTTTAATAAAAAAAATATTATAATCAAATCATAATCAATGTTTCGCCGGCAAAAAAGCCACTGCCAAAATATAAAAATTTAAATATAATTGAAAATTAAGATCAATAAATGTACGTTTTACATTTACAAATTTGCCATATGATAATAAGAGGAGCAGTGGTATTAATTTTTTGTTAATTATATTGTCCCTTGCGAAAAATATAATGTTGATTTTAGTAAAAAAAAAAAGTCATGTTGCTATTATCAGTTTCATAAAGTCTCTTAAGGGAACATTTATGTTTTGTATTCCTTCATTCTAAATTTTTATCGGTTCTTTAAGAGTTCAATACATATGACAAACTATCTTGTAAATACACTGTGTCTGTTTATACATGTTATAAAGGAAACATGATCTGGCAAATAAATAACACTGTGATAGCTTGCTATCCTGACCTCAATTAGAATCAAGTTAGCTGCACGTGTGTAAGGTTTCTGCAGACGAAATTTACAAAAGTTAATGAATACATGTTAAGTGTTACACTAATAAAATTATAATATAAAGCAAGATATATATGTAAAACACAATTAAATTCCTATTTTCTAAAACGGTTTTAGATATTACATCATGCACGTGTAAAACCAGAACAGTGGTGCGATATAAATATATATATATATGTAGGTCAGATACATTTAAGATTGGTTCAGTTTTGAATTGTTTATTGTTCATTTATATACGATAGTAGATAAATGTTTATCGTGTAGTATATATTATTCTGTTCCTATATAATAGAAACTTTCTAAAAAGTGAGAAAAAAACAACAGTGAAACAATACAAAGATAAATTTACTTACATTGAATCTGAGTGCAGTTCGAAAGAGACGTGGCTTCCTGAATGGCGGCTAAAATTTCATACACAATCGCGACACAGTCGCACCCATTATCTGGGTCAAAATTCAAAACAGATGCGCGTATATATATATATAGAGAGAGATTTAAAACTAATCAATATCGTTCAATAGTTCAATAAAAGAACAGAAAAAAAGTGAAATTTAAATTGAATACAACAAAAGAAAAAAAAAAAAAAAACAGAAAAAGAAGAAATTTTGCTATAATTGTATATTTTAGGAATGTCAATAATTACGTCGCAACAACGTTTTAATTACGTGATTTATTTGATCGGATACAGTACATATTGCAGTTATTTATTTCTTATTTTTTTTATTATTGCAATGTATTATTGATGACAAAAACATAGTTCCTCTTTTATAACAGCGTAAAAATCAACTTAATATTTTATCGACCAAAAATATGACGACGTTGCTATAACGTTACAGATACGTGACAGATGCGTCGCAATATGACATTGCAACAACGTAAGATGGACGTTATTAAAAACAATAACAACGTTGTCCTGACGTCTCTTCTACGTCGTATCTGACGTGACGTAAAATTACATTCTCACAACATTGCAACAACGTCGTACTAACGTAACGTCAGTCATGACCTTCCAGCGACCAATACATAACGTCGCAAGGACGTCGTGTGTTTCCTGGGTATCCTATTCTATACTGCGTCATAGACGTCACAAATCTATGTCCATTCTATTCTCAAATTTGTGCCCTTTTCAACAAGTCATGCGCTGTGTTATGTGTTGACGTCAGAATTTTCAAGATTTCCTCGAGGAAATATGTTTGCTGTCAAAAACATCATAAGACCAAACATTAAAATATATTTGTGTCTTTTTCTTTGTTTCGTATTTAGTATGTTTGTTAATTGATCTTAGTTGAATTATGTGTTGTGTGCTGATCTGATGAGTTAAACTCTCTCAAAATAATGTTTACACAGTTTTTTATAATGTGTTGTTACACAACGGTCCTAGATTATGGTAGGGCTGGGCGTTTTAACCCGGACGAACCCTATATTTACCTGTCCCAAGTCACGTCTTTTTACATTAATCATGCAATAGTTGTTGATTAATAATATAACAATTGAAGCCTTTGGTTGAGATCAATACGATGTTAGATCGACCTAGAGAAGCATATCGACCTCGGACTTTGTCTTCAGTCAATATGCCTCTCTTAGGTTGATATAACCTCGTATCGACCTCTTACAATAGCTATAATTGTATAATATTTTTACAAATATTCGTATGATAAAAAAAATTGTATTATTATATTTACTACATTCATGTTCAATATTCTCTTGTGACAATCTGCATTCTGTATTCTTCATAAACTATTATATATTCTCATGTAATTTACTCCAAAATGATGTTTGTAATGAAAGTGGGATTACTCAAATTATCATGTCGAAAAAGGCATACCGTGAAACAGTATCGCCGAAGTATACAACTCATAAATTAAGAATATAAAGGCTTTACTGGGTAACATAAATATGGTCATCACGTTCTTATGCATTCCTGTTGTAAAAACCTTACTTAAGCCGGGGTCAAACATTCACGATTTTTACTGCCGTCCTTGATAGGACCATTCCCGATTAAAATTTGTCAAAAATCTGATCAAGATCCTGTGAATCGTGGCTGGAAATTCAAACTTTAATTAAAATTTGTAAAAACATTTATTTAATCACGACAACAATCAGATATTGTTCAGAAAGCGTCCAAATTCAGCCGTTTCCAGCCGAATTTGTCCCGATTATTCCGTTCTCAATCCGATTCTAATCCGATTTGTATCTTTTGCATGGTAAAAAAAAATCCCGAATCTGTCCCGACAGCGTCCAGATTCTGCCGAATGCGATCCGACAGAGATCAGACAGTGACCAGACAGTGAACCGACGCTGACGGAAGATATCCGTTAGAAAACTGTCGCCATATTCGGGATGATTAGGTACTGTCGGAGCGCATTCCTATCACAGTCTGCTGTACTGCATTACAAACGGCTTTGTCTGGACTCAGTCGTATCGTGTTCTGTAATTGTCGGGACTCTGACGTGGGTATTATTGCCGAATTTCATATTAATAACGGGACTGTTCCGAAACGGTTTCAGCAAAGACGGTTCGTATTCGGCAAGATCTGGATGCAATCTGCAGAAAAACAGCAATGACAAATTTCTCCAGATCATGCCCGTTCGCCAGGACACCGTCCAGAAAACACAGAACACTGTTACGATTTTGATCCGATACAGCAGAATCTGTCACGACATAGTCACGATTGTAATCTGACTAGACAAAATCGGCTGAGTTTCCCCGAATGTTACGGGACGCACCTAACTGTCGGGGGTGCTTGTCCGACCTCTCCGGACCATTCACGATCCGTAAGAATCTGTTACGAACGTATACGACTGCCTTCAGACAATGATAGAACATTCCAGATCATTGAGGATAGTAATCCGACTTTTTCACCTATCGTGTCTAAGCGCTGTCTGATCTCAAACGGGAGCCATAATCGGCACTGTGTGAACGCCACATTACGGAATTTTGTAACTAAACGCTCTTGAACTTCGTACTTTATTTGGAATTTTAACTTTTTGTTTCGAGCGTCACTGATGAGTCTTTTGTAGAGACAGCGGGCGTCTGGCGTACAAAATTATATATAAGCCTTGTATCTTTTGAGTTTATTTTTACGTAGAGCGTTCGTTTGGTTCTGCAACGTCCGCGATCGGAATGGAGACTTTAAATCCGATGCCTCGTGTAGGGTAAGTGTCACGCTCTCTACATGCACGATTAAGAACAACTGCAACAACTCTATTAGGGGTCTGTTTGTGGCCTGTTGCAATGATACATTCTGTGCTCCTATCCCTATATATGTATTTCTGGTCCCTATATGTATTTCTGGTATAGTTCTCAATCAGGTTAACTATTATGCTTATGTATTTCACATCAGGTTATGACCGCAAAATTTGTCTATGTACACAAAAGTGAGAGCATTGTTTGGCTTAAACGTTCACTGAGATGTATACTTTGAATTACCCATCATGTTTGTATTTAAGTTGACCTACACAAAACGACACAATAAATGACCATAACTTGTAAGTAACCACGAATTTCCAAGAAGTACATTTGTTACGCTACAATTTTTTCAAAATCATATAATCTTTATCGTGAAAATATACAATAGCACATAGTTGAGAGGGTGAAATTGCAGATTATTACCCCGAAAAAAACAATATTTGTCAACCGTTCGAAGGGAACCTAGAAAATTTCTATTAAAAGTATTTATACCTTATTTAGTGTGCGAAATCGTACTGTTTTTTGTATTCCTGATAATACATGTGGACGGAATAAATAAAATGTTTTTTCTCTTCATTTGCACAAACTATTGATTATAATACATGATTGGCCATCAATTTTACAACATGGTTTTATTGCCTCTCTTCCATTCAGTGACCAGAGTTTCGGAAACAGTTAGAGCAGGACAATAACTTTTATTGTCCCAACTTTTCGAGAAAAAAACTCAATAAAATTGTTGATTTTTCAACTTTGTATTATACTAACATCAGTTGGCAAATGTCAAAAGTGATAAAACTTGTATAAAAACGAAAATTCTTTAAAAGGATAGATTAAACTTCTAAACACAAATCAAAGCATATCTAAATTACCAATCTTAAGTTTTTTATAATAAGAATGCTTAATACACAGTTTAAAAAAAAAATATTGATGGAGAAAAGATTTTACATTTAGGAATCTGTTAACTGACATGACAAAAATAAAAAATCTGGTATTTACATTTGAACACAAGAAGATGACTTCTAACATTCTTAATATGTTAGAAATATATATGTTGATTTCATTTTCTTTCGTCTGCATTGATCAGTAACCTCCAATCTCTTTATTCTAATATGATTATTACATGTATGTTTCATAATAATCCCTATTTTTGATTTGCTGACAACTTTCGAGAGGCATTTCCATTTCAGCATTCATGACATCACTGCCTCACGAGACAACGTCACAATAGTACATACAGGAAAACAAACGAGATATAGTATACTGATGACGTTAATCTTGCATAGTCCCTAAAGGCTCTCGCTTAATGATGACCTATAGTTGTTAACTTCTATATCATTTGGTCTCTGGAGGAGAGTTGTCTCATTGGAAATCATACCACATTTAATCTTATTTTTATATATAATACGAAAGATGACTATTCAAATCATCATTACCCGCTGAGATATGTCGCGTTTGCATTTGATAAGATTCCTATATATAGAATCACCTGCTCGATCGGCGATGCATAGCAAAAGATGCTTCAAGTTGCCTCGTTCACTCAATAACGCGTTTGAAGTTTATGCAATTCTATTATTTTCACTTCGATAACAAGATATTATAGACCCGAAATTAAAAGAAAAAACGATATTTCAACTTGAAATTTGAATCATAAACATTATCTCATCAAAATTTAAATTTCCTTCGCAAATATTTGAAAACTAAATTCTTGTCCCAGAAACGTGTTGCCAATATTTGTCATCAATATCTGCAAAATAAATGAGACGACATTGTTCTAAGACACGGTATTTTCTCAATCCTCGACTTGGTTAGATTTTCTAATGATGTGCACTGGCTTTGCAAATAAATTCCCTTTGTATAATTTCAGTTTTACCTATTTATTATATTTTATGACAAGTTCAAGTTTTGTACAAAGGGTGTCCGGGGAACAGTAATATGGTAATTTTTAGTCTTCTGCGAGACCGACAGTAAAATCCTTCCAAAAGTGGGACGTCCGTTTAGCTGTGCTGGATGTACAAGTTCACAGCCATGTCTGATCAGAATGAGGATGTTAAATCCGATGCCTCGTGTAGAAAGAGTGCCACGCTGACTGCACGTTAAAGACCAAACAGCCTATTGTTGATGCGCATCAACTAACGCAACTTGGTAGTGACATAAAAGCTCTATGACGTTGTTTCTAGCCATGAAAAAAAAACGTCAAATTATAACGTCCTATTTCGCGTTTTTCACGGATTCCAACATGGTGTACGCTTAAAACTACGTCTTCCAAGAAAAGTGGAATTAAGCGTCGCACTGATACCTAGTGGAAATTAAACACAAATTGACACAAAAGATACTACACTATCTGTAACCTCCGTTCTAATAGAAATATAAATTTTGAACTCGGCTTTTTGCATTTGCGCCTATCTGCATTTCACTTTTTTCTTTCACTTGCGCCGATTTTGTCTTTCATTTGCGCCGATTGTGTACAGGTAAATTATAGGTGAAATTTATTTTTTTATTTATCATATAAACCTCTTCCGTTAGCCAGTTGTACATATGTTATGAATTGTCAATTATAACATGTATATATAACTGTTGTCCCCTGCTCACAAAGGGGAGGTGGGAGTAGAATTTCGAGCAGGATAAGTCAATTTAAAAGATATTTGTGCACTCTGTTTACATCCACTAAAATCACGGAGTAAAATTCTATGTACAACATTTCAAAGCACCACAATAAAATCCATAAACATGTAATACTAGTACAATGAATTATTATCTTGCCGAGAATTTATATGCCACACATCTGATATATTCCTTTCTTGTCATTTTATCTTTTCTATACTTGTTGTACTTGCCAATAACGAAAGCCATCTTTTCTTTCTCGTGTCAAAACGAAGTTCTCGTACAATATGACCAAAATTATCTTAAACATAAGGGAACACTATTTATATCCATATATTACCATGCAATATACATTCTAGGTTTACTACATGTACATGTATTTACTCGTATAGCAAATAAAGTATCGGGCTAGTGATAAAAAAAATAAAATAGGCGCTAATGAAAGAATCAAATCGGCGCAAATTAAAGATCGATTTTTTGTTTAAATCGGCGCAAATCTCGTACGCACGTGTAACTTTACACTGGTAAATTTATATGACTTACGCTTAGAATTTTAACTTAATATGTGATTTTCAAAACTGAGTTTTCAGAAGGATAGGCCGATAAACAATACTTTCTAGAAGTTTCGATATACTGGCAACGTATGCATGTTGAGATTATCTTATTTCTCGTAAAATAATGGTGATCTTGAAGTTAAATTTTATCTATACTGCTTAATTGACAAAATCTTATATTAAAAATAAAAATGATAAAGGTTCATTGTCTTTTGTCATTTGTTTCATTTCAAATTGTCTCAAGGAGAAATGATAAAGATTTCGCCTGATCTCACAGAAGCTTAAGGCAAAAAATATAAGAAATTAATATACTCAGTGAATGTAAATTAAAATAAAAATTTACGGTTTTTAAAACTAAAATTTAACTTATGACAAAAACAATTGCTTCAAGAATAAGATCAAACATAAAATTTCTCACTTTCAAAAAGCTACAATGACCGGAAAGATTGAAAACAAATTTCGATTTTCAATGCCTGCAATCTATACATACAACCTTGTCTTTGTTTTAATTTCCAAAATGAGCTATTTAGATTCATAATATTTCATCCTGTTTTGAGAAATACTTTATAGGTTTCAACGGAAAATTATTTCTTAAATTCTAAATCAATTTTTGAATTAAAAACTTATTTGTATTTTATATTTACTGTCTCGTTTATTCAAAACACGTGAGGTAGTAATAACGGGGATCGTATTTTATGATAGGTTAAATGGATGTAAAACGTTTTAGAATCAAAAAATTTAATTCATATATTATACCTATAATTTTAATTTTCTTATATTTTAAATATTCAGAAATAATGAATCCACGAACTAGATGGAATAATTTGTATACGCTCGTCTTAGTCGGGACACATAATCGTATAAAGAAGTCCGTCCGTGCTAATGTCTGTCCGTCTGTCAACAGTAGCGAAAGAGTGCGTTAGGGCGAAGTTCTGAAATTGACGCGACAAAAAAACCCACATATAGTCTCTAATATAGTCAAATAGTCTGTAAGTAAGCCAGTGTCGTCTTTCATTTCTCTTTTTATTTTCAATGATTTTGCTAATGAGAGGGAGAGGACAAAAACAGACTTTCCTTTCTAAAGCGTCGTAAAAGGCTATTTCGAACAATTTTTCATTCCGACGGATGGTGTTTCTGAAGGTTAAATTTGTGCGGCAACAACATCATGAGATCTGATACTGATACATACATGTGATCTCTTGTATTACCGGATAATAAAGTAGGTGAATATAGTTGTTATTCTTGATTCTTGAAAATTTAAATGTGGGTTTCAAACGTCCAATTTGCATTTTTTTTCAAACAGTGCGCCAGCAAGGAAAACTTGTACTATGACGTCAGATTGAATGTTCTGAAGAAAGACTACTCTTTTCTTCAAAACGAGCGAGAAAAAAACATGAAAATTAATCACAACTTTTTTGAAAGGTCGGTGACATATACATTTTTTTGCTTTATTTTGAAGAGTACACATGGCACTTTCTTTCTTGAAATTTTTATGAAAAAAATCACTGGTAGATATTTTTTAATACTTGAAACGTTTTTCATTCTTGCGTTTTATTTTTGGCGGGAATGAAATAAATCATATTTTTTAAGATCAAAACAATAAGAGTCTTAAACTCTTGAACCTGTATTTGATAGACACAAATCTACTGTTTAACATGAAACAAGAATTATGCTTGTAGGTTTGATATAATGGGATTTTTTGAGAGTTTAAATAACAAGCAAATATCATGTTAATATTCGGGAAAACACGAAACTGAGGTTGCTATAGTGACAAAACTAAGTCGGTGACCCCCAATTTTTTTTATCATATTTTGTTCCTCAAATCATGAAATACCTTCACACAAAATTTTAAGGAAAAATCACTGGTAGAACTGAATAGGCTGTTTGGTCTTTAAGATCCCTTGATGGGGTCCATACGTCGCCTGTTGCAAGTCTAAGTTTTTGTCCCTATCCAATATAACCTCATTATCCAGTGGCAGTCCATATATTCGGCCCTTCATCCGATCGATCCCTGTTGCAGGATCTATTTATTGTATTTATTGTTAATTTGTTCTCGTCATAAACATACATGAAATATTTGCTACTGGACGTAAAGCTAAAAACAATCAATCATTTTGTTGTCGAGCATACCTTCATATGCAATATTTAATTAGTGCTTCGAAACAGAGGAGGGGTAGTGATTAAAGATTTTTTTATTTGGTTCTGACAATTCGGTCATATGTGTCTTGGTGACGAAATACAGGAATGTTTCGTTCTCTATAACATTACAGTAAATCGTGCAACCGTTTATTAAACATTCTTTTAGTGTTCTTCTAATGATATCTTTATTATTTCCATTTGAGTTTGATATTTCGTTCTACATTTCATTTCTTGAACTGTCGATCCTTTCTGAGAACTAAAGTACTTACCCAGTTTTTTGTTGGGTTCGTGTTGCTCAATCTTTAGTGGTTTACTTAGTGTATTTTTTTACTTTTTGTTTGTTTTGTTATTTTGGTGTGTTAATGATATTGTCTGTGTTTCTCCTTGGAATATATTTATATTCCCTCTCAATTTTACATTAGCCGTCTCGATGACTCATGGTGGCGTTCTTGTCTTAAATGCTAGAAAGAGGTTTGGATTCAATCCTCGACCGGATCAGACCAAGAACTTGCTTCCTCTCCGCTATCGGTTTGGAGTCAGGATAATGTGTCTGGGTAGGGTAAAATGTCTTATTCCGGATTGTTACCTTGTGAACTATCACGTTTACAATTAGTCTAATCTTGTCAGTCTTGTACAAAGCAGCGTTCTTACAGATTGTCAAACATGTTCTTGTCCTGATGTGCAAGTAATGTTTGCCAATGAACGCTAAATCCATTTTTACATTTACTGACAATTCTGTTATTGACAAGATGAATTCGTAGTTGCCTAAAACTGACGTAGTTGCAAGACTTTTCTATGTACAATAGAAATTAAAATGATAGGTTTTTAATCAACATGGACATGTTTTATGTAATTTTACTGGTACATATACATGAATGTATCCAAATGTTTCCTCATACACAGTGTTGTGTTGTGTTGTGTTTTGTTGTGTTTTGTTGTGTTGTGTTGTGTTGTGTTCTTTTGTTTTGTTTATACACTGCTTAAACTGAATAAATGAAATATGGTATTTCCCCTTGCATTCGTTTATATTCAAATACGTAACAAAATTGTGGATATTGATGTAAATGAAATAATCATTTTTTTCTGCAATCGAAGTCTACCTCCTCCTCTTCATTTTCCCCCTTTTTGGTGACTTCCTCTTTGCTTTTGGCCTCTTTGCTTTTGGCCTCTTTGCTTTTGGCCTCTTTGCTTTTGGCCTCTTTCTCTTGGCTTTTGGCCTCTTTTTCTTGGCTTTTGGCCTCTTTTTCTTGGCTTTTGGCCTCTTTTTCTTACTTTTAGGAGACTTCTTTTTTGAAGATTTTGCTTTCTTTTTCTCTGCTTTTTTTGCTTTCTTTTTCTGTTTCTTTTGTTTCCTCTTTTCTTTTTTTTGTTTCTTCTTTTGTTTCCTCTGTTCTTTCTTTCCTTTTTTCTTTTCTTTTTTCTTTTCTTTCTTTTCTTTTTTCTTTTCTTTTTTTTTTCCTTTCTTTTCTTTCTTCTTATCTTTCTTTTCTTTCTTCTTATCTTTCTTGTCTTTTTTCTCTTTTTCTTTGTCTTTTTTATTTTTCTTTTTCCCGCCATCATCGTCGCCACCACCGCCACCGCCATCACTGTCGTCACCACTACCGCCGCCGCCGCCGCCACCACCACCACCACCACCACCACCACCACCCCATCCACCACCTCCTAAATCTTCATCATCACTTTCCTCTGGTGAATTGTCATCATCGCTTTCATCTTTTGGGTCTTTCTTACGTTTGATCTTTTCTTTAAAAGTGCAAAAGGAAATCATAAAAAATAAGCAACGAAACAAGAAGAGGATTTATATTTACTTGAATACTTTATTTACAGTTAGATAACATATGTTCATATATATTTCAGAACTAATCTGCACTTGTATACCCTACGAGTAAAACACAATTCCTCTTTAGGTTTCGGTTCAAGTCAATGCTAATTTTGAACATGCCATATTTATCCAACTCCAAAGTCTTCGATGCCATCATCATCACTATCCTTTGTTTTGATCGTCATCATCGCTTTCATCTTTTGGGTTTTCCTTACCTTTGATCTTCTCTTTAAAAGTGCAAAAGAATATCATAAAAATAAACAAGAAAACAAAGAAGAGGAATTACATTTACTTACACACCAAAAGGAATAAATCTTTAACTGCATACAATTTAAATGAAACAATATATATATAAGAACCAATCTGCATTTGTATGCCTTAATTACGATTAACACAACATCTTTTTGTTCTTCCTGTACAATAATCTGGATAATGCGCAGTTAAAGTGTACATTCTGCACAGTAAATGTAATCTTACCTCACAATTACGATAAAGGATAATTTAACAATTCTGTGCAAACTACATCGTTTCGAAAATATGAAAATATATATATAATGTCAAAGTGCTAGGGTAAGAAGAATCAATCCTTCTTAAAACTGGGAACTTTTTATATCAAAATAATCATGATTTGATTCGGATTTGTTTTGTGCTCAATGGAATACACTTTGTTTAGATCCGACATGTCTTCAAAATAAGTCGCCGAATACATTTGAAAAATATGATGGGGGTTAGATATTGAAAAATAGTACATTTTTTATATTCTATTTTAATTAGCACACCTCTCTTTAATCAATTTGCACATATTCTTGAAAGAAAGACGAACGCTTATTTTTTTTCAATAACAATGCAAGTTATTACTAGTAATGCAATAATTTTGAAGTACACCAATCGGATCTAAAACTGTTCGAATAAAAGGAGATGTTGAGTACTGATCCGACATGAGACGGCAACCCAACGACAAAAAAAACCCCATTGAATGGATATCTAAACGGCAACATACAGTTTCAACAATTGACAGGGAACTACACAATTTCAAACTTTAAATAGTTCCGATATAAAAATAAGAAGATGTGGTATGATTACCAATGAGACAACTATCCACCAAATTCAAATGAAGTAGATTTTTTGCTTTGTATCAATCTCATGAGTTAAGCCCTTTTCAACTGATTTTTATAGTTTGTTCTTATGTTGTACTGTTACATCACTGTCCCAGGTTAGGGGAGGGGTTGGCTCCATCAAACTAGTTTAACCCCGCCACATTCTGTATGTGCTTGTCCCAAGTTAGGAGCCTGGAATTCAGTGGTTGTCGTTTATCAATGAATGTTTTTCATATTTGTTTTTTCTTTATTATTTTATATAGGTTTGATCTTGGGATGTGCCGTTGCTTCACTATCACAGGCTAGGAAGGCTAGGGAGGGTTGGCGCTTTCAAACATGTGTAATTCAGCCACATTCTGTATGTGCCTGTCCCAAGTCAGGAGCCTGTAATTCAGTGGTTGTCGTTTGTTGATGTATTTCATATTTGTTTTTCGTTCATTGTTTTGTACATCATAAATCAAGCAGTTAGGTTTCTCGTTTGAATTGTTTTACATTTGTCATTTCGGGCCCTTTTATAGCTGACAATGCGGTATGAGATTTGGTCATTGTTGAGGGCCGTACGGTGACCTATAGACTTTGTAAACTTCTATGTCATTTGGTCACTGGTGGAGAGTTGTCTCATTGGCAATCATACCACATCTTCTTATTTTTATAGATGTAAGCAATTATAGGCAACAATTAATAATAATCTATATTAAAACTTGTGAAACAATGGTTGACATAATACAAAGTAACTAATGGTTTGCTTGAAATAAATTCTCTCCGAAAATTTCGTGTTAATTGATGACGTCATGTGTTAAAACAGTGATTGACCAATCAAATAGGTATATACACATGGACTGGATTGTCCAATAACTATAACGAGAGACATAAAAGACATGTATTATATGTCTCTGTTCCTACTCAAGACACAGTTCCTCCTAAGGTTTCTATTTTACAAAATGCTCATTTTGAAATACGCACATAATTGTTCAAATGTGTTCTGGTAGATAATTTATAGTAACAGGCTAATCATATCAATAAGTGATATGCTAAATAATTATAGTTTGGATGTTAAAGGAATTAAATGAACAATCTTTGACATTTGATTTTCTTTTTTAACGTAGACTCTACCCTCACTTTTTTCATTTCTCATTTCATGACTTCCGGTAAGAATTTTGTCGTAGCCAGACAGATGTTAAAGTAGGGTTTGGCGCCCACAAACATGTTCAACCCATTCACATTTTTATGTGCCTGTATCTTGTCAGTAGCCTGTAATTCAGTGGTTGACGTTTGCTGTTGTATGTCGTATTTTATTTATTTGTTGGTTGTTTTGTACATTAATCATGCCTTTGGTTTTCTCGTTTGAATTCTTTTACATTTTGTCACGCTGTGACCTTTAATAGCTTGCTATGTGCTGTGGGTTTTGTACATCGTTGAAGGCCGTACGGCGACCTACAGTTGCTAACATATACGTCGTTTGGTCTCTGTAGAATAGTCGTCTCATTGAAAATTTTTAACAAAGTCGGGTGAATGTAAATTATCTTGTAATTTTTAATGTCGCGTTACTGTTTCGTTTCTAGTCCAATTTTATTCATTATTCATGCAAATACAGTTCTATATTTATATTTGTAATTATGTACTAGATATATATGTCTTACTATACAAATTCTTGGTATATATGTAAGCCTCATATCTATGTCCAGTCTCAAATATGTGTCCTTTCCTCAAGTCTATATCATATTCTATACTGCGTCATAGACGTCACAAATCTATTCTTTTCTCAAATCTGTGCACTTTTCAACAAGTCATGTGCTGTCTTATGTGTTGACGTCAGAATTTTCAAAATATCTTCGAGGAAATATGTTTTTTTTGTCAAAAACATCTTATTATAAGACCAAACAGTAAAATATATTTGTGTCTTTTTCTTTGTTTCGTTTTTAGTATGTTTGTTAATTGATCTTAGTTGAATTATGTGCTTTGTACTGATCTGACGAGTTAAACTCTCTCCAATTGATTTTTACACAGTTTGTAATAATGTGTTGTTACTCAACGGTCCTATTAGTAAATTAGGGTAGGTTGAGCGTTTTAACTTTAAACCCCGACAAAATCCTATATTTACCAGTCCCAAGTCACGTCACATTACAGATAGCCTACTTTATAAAAGAAAATGTATTTGAATAAGCAAATTGCCACATATTTGAGTGTCATGATCTCACGGGACACATATCTGGAAAAGGACGTAGATTTAAGTCTGCACAAAGGATCACAAATTTAACTGTCATGACGTCAAGGGACACATATTTGAGACCGGATATAGCTTTGACTCTTACGTAAAAATATAAAACCATTTGGCCTACTTTTTGCATGTTTCACATATTTCATTGGATCTCCGGTTCTACACGTGTCACATGGACAATTGGGTATAATGTAGGCCACACCAATCCCTACAGGATCTTCCATCTCACAAGCATTGCCGATAGATGTCTGCATGAGTCTTAAGAAAACCATCATTATAATCTGAAATATACATTTGTTGCATTGTATTTTAAACATTATTTTATAACTATCTTATGCAGCCCACCCATCTGTTTTCGAATACATACACTATGAATAAAAGGAAATGTGGGATATACGTTAATGAGACATAAGCACAAACGAATAATAATAGAATTTGTTTATATTTTGCAAAAATGTAATATATATTTTTATATATTAAAAAAATATACTAGTGATAACAATGATAGATCATCGAGATTTATTTCAAGCTACCAGTTGTGAAAAAGTACACATTTTGTATGAATTATAGAGAAACCCATTACTACTTGGTGATATAATTTTGAAATAAAATATGAGAAGATAGCCCTATAAAATACTTGCAAGACATAAAAGAAAACACAAAATAAAAGTCACCGTACGTTTTTTCCTGTAGATTCTTTTGTAAATTGTACAATTTCTTAGTTACCTCCCCTTAATATGCCACGTAACAAAAAATGAAATCAAGCAAACACATTCTACCTAGAATGTAAAAATATGAATAATTGTAAGATAAAATCAAATAAATTCATTTATTTAAATGAACATTTCTATTAGTGAATCGCATTCCTGCATTGAAATATGCTAACTTGATTGAAAATCTAGACCCATCGTATTCTGCTATTTAACAATCCAAGATGGCGAAAGACTCACACTACCTTAACTATAGACAGGTGTCTATTGTGGCGCGGAATCATATTCATCAATGCTTGAATTAGCTTATGCAAAATTAAATTTCGATTATGCTAAACTGAAAGTTAAGCATATGCTGAATTCAATTTAGCTTATTCTGAGTTTAACTTAGCTTATGCTAAATGGATTTAATCTTCATCTGAATTTAGCCTCTGTTGAATTCAATTTAGCCTGTGCTCAATATTACAGTTCAAGCTTGAAATGAAATCATTTTAACATATGCTAAATTATCTAATGTGGTTAGTCAAAATAATTATTCAGTGTTGTCGTTGGTTGCTGTTTGCTAAATTCGTTTTTCGTTTACCGTTTTTAGTTTAAATCATACCGTTGATTTTCTCGTTTGAATTGTTTCGCATTTGATCATGCCGGGCCGTAAATTAACCTTTCTACTGTACGGAATGCTCATTGTTAAAGGCAATATGGTTCCCTATAGTTGCTTATACCAACTTCTTTGTTTTCTGGTGTATAGTTTTCTCATTGGCA